AAGCTGTTCTTGTGTTGCTTCGCCTGCACACATTCTTCACATACTTCGTTTGGAATGTCAATTTCAGGCAATCCTGAAACCATATTTCTTCTCTTCAAATCTCTGATGTCTCTGAAGTTGAGATGACCAAGTCTATAATGCCATATCCATTCATCTCTGCTAGCTGCAGTCGAAAGGCACTTGTGCTCCATCACATTTAGTTCAATCTTGAAGGTTCGATTCTGAGACATAGGAGCCTTCAAGATTAATCTCCCATTTGTATCAACGACTCTCATCAACTTATCTTCGATTGACACTTTATAATTCTTTTCGACCAACTGCCCTATACTGAGCAAATTGCTCTTCATTCCTGGTATGTACAATACATTCGAAATTACTGACTTCTTGCCATCTTTCCTCATGATCATAACATCACCAATACCTTCAGCTGCTAGGGTGTTGTCATTTGCAAATTTTACCATATTCTTCGTTGAGGGTTTTATATTGACGAACCAGTCTTTTCTTCCAGACATATGTGATGAACATCCTGAATCCAAGTACCATTGGTCCTTGAATCTATCTTCATCTCTTGTTGTGACCATCAGCATCATCTCTTCTTCTTCTTCATGTTTTGCAAGCTTTGCATCAGTTTCTTGATTCTTTCATTTTTCTGGACAATCACTCGAATAATGACCATACTTCTGACAATTGTAACATTGAATGTGACTCTTATCAGGTTTTCGACCACCACCTCTTCCTCTGTTTTCAGCACCACCTCTTTGGTTGCCTTGGTGTGGTCTTCTTTGATTCGACACGTCTCCTTCGATTTGGTTTCTTCTACCATTCGATTTGTTGTAGCCACCTCTACTTCTGTCGAAATACTTTCCTTTGCCTTTGGTCTCTTTTGCTGAATGTGCCTGCAAGGCCACATCACTCTTCGATTTTCCTGCAGCTCTTTCGTTCATTCTTTGTTCACGAGATTCGAGCGTCCCTTGAAGCTCTTCCTTTGTCAATTTCGACAAGTCTTTCCCTTCTTCTATCGCCACCACTATGTGGTCGAACTTAGGGGCTTAGGATCTCAGGATCTTCGAAACAACAGCTCTTGTTGTTAATGTTTCTCCACATGTCTTGATTTGATTCACTAGTTTTGTAACTCTAGTGAAGAAATCAGATATGTTTTCACTGTCTTCCATCTGAAGCAGTTCATAGGTCCTTTTGTGAGTTTGTAACCTCATTTCTTTCACCTTCTCAGCGCCTCCAAAAGATTTCTCCAGGATCTCCCAAGCTTCTTTTGCAGATTCTGAATCACCAATCTTCTCGAAATTGTCTGGACTGACACATTGATGAATTATAAACAATGCTTTATAACTCTGTTTCTCAGATTCTGTATATTTCTTCTTTTCTTCTTCTGAAGCGTTTTCGCCAAGCGCTTCGACTCCATCTTTTACAAGGTCCCAAAGGCCTTGACACCTTAATAGGACTTTCATCTGCTTGCACCAATTCTCATAGTTGTCAACTTTCAGAATTGGCAGCGTTGTTGGATAGTTTGCATTCCCATAACTTGTCATCTTGAATTCTTCAATCGTTCTTGATTGATACTTCCCTTGAATCGAAACACAAGCTCTTGATACCAGATGTTGGAAATCCACCAATACACTATGATGAATTTCGACCACCACTTGATGATAAGTTATGAAACAAACAAATAAAAGAACAATGGAGATATTTCTGCAGAATTTCTATTCTGCCCACAAACTGTGGAAACTTTATTAATTTACTTTGCAACTGCAAAATACTGTGAATGAGTTCAATGACTTGAATACAAAAATAAGGGTTACTCCCTCTTATTTATAGATTTAGGTTAGCTTGCTCCCTAAGCTAAACCCAAGCCCAAAATATCTCTTTACTAAATCAAATCTAATCTAGATTTAAATTCAAATCTATTTAAATCTAAACAAATCAAATCTTCTTTTGACACCTATGAATTACAATTTAACATCTATCATAAATGTGACTCTTTCACATCTTATAATATGATTCAACATTAAACCCGGTTCCCGCTATTCCACTGTGTTAAACCATGACTTTGACGCTACTTGTAGGGAAGTTTGGAAAAATTGGAAGTGTTAATGAGACCAATGTTATAGAATCATAAGAGAGGAGACGCCACATTTCCATCCAAAATCTTAAAGCATTAGGTATATAAGTTAGTTCTATTATAAATTCAACATTTTATCCATTCATAAGAAATGTTGTGATTGTTTTCCTTTATTTTCTCTATGTTAGATTTTTCTAACAATTGGTATCAAAATTTTTGGTTCGATCCGGTGACATACGTTCTTAGTATATTTTGCTGTTGCAGCTTTGTCTGATCTTCTACATCAGAAAAGAAAGATGATGTTGTGAAAGTGTTGTTGAGTTGCATTCACAAGTTCCGCCATGCTGTTTGGGATAGAGAAAATTAATAGAAAAATTATTTTTTAATTTGTGAAAAATTCAAGTCAAAGATGTATTAATAGATTCAGGATTACACAAGTGTTGGTTAGGGATTTGCACATGGGTATTGATTTACATTGATGTAAAGTATGTTCTGAGAATATGTCAGTGGCTGAAGAACTTTCTGCCAGTATGAAAGTTGCACCATAAATTTTTAACTTGTCTTTTGACATATGAAGATTTTTGGAGTGGTTTATCTGTAAGTGATTTTACTCTTTTAGTGGAGTATAATAGTTTTGAATTATAATTGTCGGCGGAGGAAAAGTTAAATTTTTTAGAGTGATGTAATTTTCAAGTGACTATACTTTTTATGTATTAGTATGATAGTTCTTTTGAATTATGTTTGTCGATGGAAATAATATGAAATTTATTAGAGTGATATAGTTTCAAGTGACAATACTTTTTATGGTAGAATATGATATATATATATATATATATATATATATATATATATATATATATATATATATATATATATATATATATATATATATATATATATATATATATATATATATATATATATATATATATATATATATATATATATATATATATATATATATATATATATATATATATATATATATATATATATATATATATATATATATATATATATATATATATATATATATATATATATATATATATATATTTTAAATTATGATTTTCAGAGAAGAGAATACAAGGTGTATTATTTTTCAATTAAGGTGGAAATTATTGGTGTTTGTTGAATATAAATGTTGAAGAAATTTCATATAGCTTATTTTTGTAAAAAAAGATAGAGTCCAAAATTATATAAAAGATTCAAGTTTTTTATTACAAACTGTATCAGTCAAAACACAATGTGTGTGTTTCATAAATACATTTTTTTATCTAGGGCATTGTTTTACACTCCATGGGGGTGATGATGAATACATTGAAAACTTGATTTTGCCCTTTTCATATTTTTGAGATGCATCTCCAACTGCATTCAATACAGACATATAGGACGTGGCAAACGAGCCACATCTGTTTAAGTCAAAAAATAATTCGAAGATGCATTTATGGAATCACCACCGTATGGTGTTTTCAATGCACACATAATGATATAAAACTTGTATAAATAAGGGATTTCTCATCTTATGTTAATACACCACACCAGAATGAATATATATTGACATGTCACATTTGTCTACTTTAACGATGCGAAACCCTCATTTCAATTTAAGGTCACAGAGTACACTTCTCTTGTAGATCTGAAATCTATATTGGAGAATCTCCTACTCAGATAATCGAAGAGTTGTGAAGCTCGAGTACCACTCATATTCAATTGACAATAAATGGAAGATTCTATTCAACAAGTTTGAGTTGAAGATAAATGAAGATTTAAGAGTTATGTGAAGTACATTTTACCGTCACAAAACAAATGATCTGATTGAAGTGGATGCGACAATTGCAAATGCGACAATTGCAAGGTCGACCGAAGATATTCTAATGATGTTGCAATGACCTGAAAAATGCAATGTTAACGATTATCATAACAACTATTTATGCAATGTTATATATTTTGATGTTAGTTTATGTTTGTCTTCGTGTTTCTGCATCTAGTACTACTGGTTTGTAGTTTGACTATTTTTTGGAGACGCATCTCCTTAAATTTCGTTGAATTTTGAAATAAGAGTTATTACGGAGATACATCTATGAATTAAACTTATGGTAATAAAGATGCATCTCCGTATATATTTTTGGACAAAATGGGATGACTCACTTAAAAAATTGTTTGAGGTGTATAATTTGGATGCGTTTTGAGATGTATCTCTAAAATCTAGAGACTTATGTGATTTTTCACTGTGGTAAATTAGCACTCCCAGAAGTGAATAAAATAATGCCCTTTTATAAAACACATTGTGATGTACGATATTGAAAGGATCATTCATAACAATATTGTGTTTCTTAATTTAAAAAAAAAAAATGATTTTGCCCGAGGATAGACAATTTATTAGTTCATTTTTGGATAAATAATAACTTTTATAATATATTTTATATTTGAGTAAAATTTTCAAACTGAATTTTTTAATAAAAAATATAGAAATGTTGTAAGTTGTTAAATGTGTTCGAGTCTTACTCAACCTTACAAAACTCGATTATACGGTAACGATTATTTATATTTATAAGCATAGTATAAGACTCTTAACATATCCTCTCATGTTTAGAATTTTGACATTTGAAGAATAGAAATAAATAGTGAATGACTCAATAATATAAATCTGGTAGTGGGTAATCCACCAAATTTAAACAAAATTCTTACCTCACAAAACTGACTACTAAACTGACTTATATAATCACATATTCAAGTCATAGATATAGAAATGTGCGTGGAAATCTGAAAAAGAAAAGACTAATTGGTATATAGATAAATAGAATTTGCAGCTAACACTAAAACGTGTAGATCTATCCATTCCTTTACATTAACAAACAACTTCTCTCATTCAGCAAAGTAAGGAACAATTATCATACTACAAGAAAGCAATGTGTGTCATCTAAGGTAACACAGAGTTGGTGTAGATATAATCTTCATTTTCTAAATCAGTTTCTTCATTCCCACCATCTACTTTCTCGCACTCAACACCTTGTTTTTCACACTCACCTCTTCTCTGCAACAACACATAACCTTAATTAATACTATAACAACTTACAGTTAATACAGTATCAAGAGATAGAAAGTCTTAAAAAGAAAGTTTCAAATTCCGAAAAACTCACAACAACAGTGACAGAATTATTACTTCCCGAGCCGCCGCCACCACCACTCACAACAACTCCTTCGTTGACCACTGCTTCTCTTTGAACAACACATGTAACAATGAAGATGAAAAGAACAAAGAGAAACAACGTTGCCTTTGAGAGTCTCATTTTTTGTACCTGCTCAGAAATTTACTTTGAGGTTATAATACAAATATCATACTATAGCACCGACTATATATGTTTTATATTTTATTCATATATTAGAAATAAATAAACTGTATATTAAAATTGAGAGTTTGAGGTTGGTTTTGGACCTGTCTCTGAATTCCTAAGCACAAAGCTCGACTCTCGAAGATGTGGGTTGGCTAATCTTGGTGTTTTCTCATTTTAACTAAGTGGAAGATATGCATGTAATCCTCTCAAAAAGATAGGTAGGACACACAAACCATGTATCCAATTGAATAAACAAAAAAAAAAAAAAAATCTATAGTAAGATTTAATTGAAAAATTAAAAGCATATGATATATTAGATACCCATGTTATAGAAAAGAAACCTAACTTTTGTCCTAAAAAATAAAAGAGGTGCTATATTTTAACTTGATTGATAAGACAAATGATATCACTAATATAGAAGACGGTGTCTCTTGTTCTATTATGTCTAGCTATGTGGCATATTTGTTTGATAATTCCTCCTTTCCACGAAAGGTCATTTTTGCTTATATATTATGATGTCTTTTCAACTCATGGAAGAATTTAAATTGAGAAAACCTTCATTTAAACGTGTCTAGATTTGGGCCTGTTTTAACTTTAAAAAATAATTTTTTTCTTTATATTTTTAAAAATGATTTTTATAAAAATGTTTTTTAAAATATTAAAAGTTTTTAAATTCATTTTTTATAAATTAAAAGATTAATTTTGACATCCTATAATATAAATATATATTATTAAAATTAAGATACAATATAAAATCATAATTATTTTTCAAAAAAATTATCTCAAAAATAATTTTTACTAAAAACTATTTAAAATAACTACAAATTTAAATATTTTTTTTTAATAATTTTGATACTTAAAAAAAGTTATACCAAAATGATATAATATTTAAAATAATATTTTAAAAATAGCTATTTAAGTTAGTTTTGATATTTAAAATAATATTTTAATAATATAATGATTACACGACATGTCACATTAATCTTACTTGTCAACGAAGCTATAAATATATTAAGGGAAAACGTACTCATATGAATGAATGAATTCACATTTTAGGAAAACATTATTGATGTGTCAAATGCGATTAAAAAAGTCACTTATCAAGTGATAATATGAACATTAAAACATGTTAGTGAGAAGAGTCACATACTCAATTTCTCAAAGCTAAGATATATTAAAATATTAAATTTAATCTAAGTTGTGTAACCTAAATCCAAGCTCAATTAGGCACTATAATAAATAACGCATTTTATGACAAAGTCTTCACCTGTGTCAAAGAAAAATCGAGGTAAATGCCAAGGCGCACCATCTTTTATTATTTTAAAAAATAAAAAACCACAAATTCTCTCAGTTTTTAAAATAATCGAGGGGAAAGATAAGTCAGGACACGCTTCGAATCTCAACTATTACAGTTTATGTTTTTATTTGTTTATAAGTGTAAACTAAATAATGTAACCCTTTGATTTTCGATATAATCAAGGGATACAATAATTAGATTTTACTATAAAAGTACTCGTTAAACAAATTTTACCCTAATTCTTACTTATATGAAGTCGCCCCAAACTCGCATGCATCATTCTTTGGGATGAATTACAAGACAAAAATAAATCTTCAATGTTCTTCTATCTAGAACAAAACATTTTTCTACCCTTGCGATCTATCTCACATAATGGTGTTGATGTTGTTGTATTTTTGGAATAAACTTTCTATGATGGATTGCAGGTGCAGAAAAAATATTTTCCAATATTTGGAACAAATAACTTATTAGAAGATGAATGCATTCAAACTATTGAGCTTAAAAAGCATGCACACAAGGGTATGCAACTAAATCTGGATTACAACAAAGATTTTTTATTCTCCAAGAATAACAGCGACTATGATGACACTTCATATTTTTTGTAATAATGAATTTTAATATTCCTGCTTCGGCTTACACAAAGAAGGGAGCTCAACCTTTGGATGATGGATATCAGCGAAGATATTCATTCAAAAGAGAAAAGATTTGTTGTAAACCATTTATTTTAATATTTTGTATAAACAATGTAATTGTCAAAACAAAAAAAAACAAATGTCACCTCGGTTTTCAAAAATAACCGAGGTGAAATCTGACATTTGTAAAACAGATTTTACCCTAATTCTAACTAATATGTAGCTGCGATAGATAGAGGAAATATTTATCATTGTTTATTGCCATGAATTTTTTTGATCTCTGAAGACTATGAGATCTTTGAGGACTCTGAAGACTATGAATTCTCCGAGTATTCCACCAAAGATCTGTTGTAAACAATTTATTTCCAATAACTCTTTATAGCAAAAATTTGTTATTCTCCAAGAATCCGGATTTGTTGTAATATTGTGTTTTATAATTCTTTGTAAACTATATAAATTAAAAATTAATAATAATAAAAATCTTTCACCTCAGGTTTTCTTAAAATCGAAGGGATATTTTAGCATTAATTTTGAGGATATTTGTCACCGTCCATAATCAAATCCTTTTTGTCCATTGTCATGACTATCAACCCTCAAGACACTACCATTAGTGATCCACATGAAACCTAAATAACTTCCATTATAAAGGCAATATGAATATCAAAAATTCATAATACAACATCATGAAGCGCTTGAAACTATCCTCCACTTTAAAATTTGTAAGAGTCCTGGTCATGAAGAGTTCTCTAAGATGGATTGCAAGAGCAGAAAATTATTTGGGTTTAAGGTTTGTGTTCTTAAATGTTTATTTGAACATAAAGTTATTTATTTATCTAACCATTTTTTTATTTGTTAATATCGGAAAAAAATGCAAGGAAAATCAATAGAAAACATATTATTTCAAGCAATTGATCTTCCCATGGATATCAAAGATTTGAAGATCCAAAATATGATCTTCATGGACAACTTGATTTTTATTTTGATATTCTGTGTAAACAATGTAACCAGTTTAATATTCTGGATAAACATTGTATTTTGTAAACAAGTTACTTTATCAATTTTCTGTGTAAACAATGTAACCAATTTAAATTAAAAAAATACTAATAGTTTACCCCTCGGTTTTATTGATAATTTGCGATATTTGAGGCGCTACAATTGTAAATAATGAAAATGTAGATGGTGGGGTTTGAAACCATGCGCAATTAAAATACCCCTCGATGTTTTAAACACCGAGGTGTTAACTCTATATTTTTTATGACGACCTAAGTTACCTTGCTTCCATAGCTGAGGTAAAATACATTTCGCGTCTGACATGCATGTGCTTTTTGTAGTAGTGAGGGTTTGTTAGCCTACTTAATGTATAAGTTAGGTGTATATAGATAGTCATAGTTTCTATCATTATTTGTAAAAACTCAAGTGAATAATCTAATCCTTATTTTCCTTATTATTCCCTCTTTCTCTCCTCACTAAAAGTGCCTCACACACTATCAAATTGGTATCCAGAGCTTCCAGTTATTATTCTTGATCGTGTTTTCAAGAACTTCATGTCAGAGACCGTGTTTCCAGGTCAAGTGAATCAATCGCTGCGAAGATGGCTAGTGATAAGGGCATTATGAATTCTCTTTCAATGCTCGACAACAAAAATTGGATCCGATGGAAAAAACAGATGCAATCCTTGTTTAGCTTCCATGATACCCTATAAGTGGTTACCAACGGTGTTCTTGCGCTGGCTGCAGATGCAACCGAAGCACATAAAAATGACCGCAACGAAGTCAAGAAGAAAGATTTCAAGGATGCTTATTGCATTCAGACAACGGTTGATGCTGCTAACTTCGACAAAATTCTCATGCTGAAATAGCGAATGAGGCATGGGATATTTTAGTCAAGTATTATGAAGGAGGTGAGAAAGTCAAGGTTGTCAAGTTGCAGACCTTGCATCGACAATATGAATTTTTTTCAATGGGAGAAGACGAAAAAGTTACAGAATATATGTCGAAGGTCCATAAACTCGTCCATCCCATGAAGAATTGTGGTGAAACCATAACTGATAAGATGATAATTGATAAGGTAATGCAAACATTGACCTCTCACTTTGATCATGTTATCGTAGCTATTCAAGAATCCAATCAACTTGAAACCCTAAAACTGGAAGATTTGATTAGTTCGTTTGAAGCACATGAGATTAGGATTGTTGAAAGAAAAGGAGTTCAAGACTCGATACAAGCTCTACAAGTTGAATCATGGAAAAGGAATGGTGATTCTAACAAACTCAAAGGCAAAGTCGACAAGACTCAGGAAAAGAAGTCTTGGTCGAACCCTCACAAGCATCAAGTCAAAGATAGAGCTTCTGAATCCTCGAAAAGAGGATGAGGAAACTATCGAAAGGACAAAGAAGATAAAAAAGGTGTGCAGTCTTATAACTGTGAAAAATGGGGTAACTTCGCCAAGAATTATTGGTACAGGAAAGACACGAGATCGACAGGCAAGGACGAAGGAGCGAACCTTGCACGCCAAGATTAAGACGATTCTGAATGTATGATGGTTATGGCTGCAATTGCAGATAACCATGTCAAATCCAAGATCTGGTTCCTTGACTCAGGCTGCTCAAATCACACGACTGGTCAAAAAGTGTGGTTGGCAGATTTCGACGAGTCGAAGAAGAGTAAGGTAAAACTTGTTGATAATAGTTCTTTTCAAGAAGAAGGTACTAACAACATAGTTTTTTATATGAGTAATAGAGGGAAATCTATGATAAAATATGTACTCTATGTACCTGGAATAAACTGAAACCTGCTAAGTGTTGGACAACTGGTCAAAAAAGGTTTTTTAGTTGTTACGAAAGATGGATCTTTAAAATTGTTCGACACCCAGAACAATTTGGTGTTAAAATCTCCGCTGTCGAAGAATAGGACATTTAAGATTATGATCAGTTCGACTGAAGTACAATATCTAAAAACTGTTGTCGACCATAAGAATAGTTGGTTGTTGCATCTGAGGTTTGGACATTTGAACTTTCGATCACTCAATCAGATGATTACTCAAGATATGGTAACTGGTATCCAAAGTATTGAGATACTCGATAAACTCTGTGAAGGCTGTTTAGTCGGAAAGCAATCCAGAAATTCTTTCGTTTCAACTATACCAATGAGATCATCTTGCATACTTGAAGTGTTACATTCAAATGTATGTGGTCTGTTCGAAGAGCATACCATTGGTGGAAACATGTATTTTGTTGCGTTTGTCGATGAGTTTAGTCGAAAGCTGTGGATATATGTGATCAAGAGAAAGGATGAAGTATTCAAAATCTTTAAGAGGTTCAAGATACTTGTCAAAAACCAGAGTGAGAAGAAGATCAAAGTTTTGCAAACAAATGGAGATGGCACTACTACGGAAAACCCATTTCACAATGGTTGGAAAGCACATATAATCAGGAGGGTCCAGACATTGTTGTGTAGAGTGTGGTTATATATGCGACACTTACAATCACGGGTCCAGGAACCATTGTGGTAAAATTTCTATCACAACGGTTGACGTAAACAACCATTGTAATAATTATAGTGGCATGTGTTTGATACCCAGCTACAACCAAAATTAAAACGCATAAAAATAGCATTTCGCCACGGTTAAAAGTTCCAACCGTTGTGGTATATGTAAGAGTTTATTATAAAATATTGGATTGCTTGTTTTTACTTGCTCCTCATTAACCATATACAACCATTCAAATAGATTTTTGAGACAATAATCAGAAAAATTAAGTTATTCTTGAAAAACAACTTAAAAGATCCAATGTTTTTCGAATTGCAAGCATCCTGTAAATCATCATTTCCTCTTTTAGCCTATAGGATTTGATTCAATCCCAAATTCTTCAAAGTAATGTTGATAAATGGATGCCAGTCTGAGTTTTTCACATAAAATTTGATTTCCTCTTCTTTTCTACTTTATTTTTCAAATATCAAGTTTTGTGTGAAAGATCCAAACTGGCACCCATTTATTAACATTGTTTTGAAGAATTTGTGACATTGAATGAAATTCTATGCGCTAAAAAGGGAATTATGATTTACAAGATGCATGCAATTTGAAAAACATTAGATCGTCTAAGTTGATTTTCAAGAATAACATAATTTTTAAATTATTATCTTAAAAATCTTTTTAATTGAATGCAAGTTCAACGAGGGGTTAGTGAAACAAGCAATCACATATGATATAACAAACTCACTAACAACATTTATCAACAAAACATTGAATTAATTTACATAGATTGGGAGACCTGAACAACTAGCCATTGATACCGCCATCATCATCACCACATGAGGTTCATCTAGTTTGTGAAGCCATGAAAAAAAATATAAGGTGGATGAAGTTAACACAATAGCTTCATACTTCTTATATTTCTTTTCATAACTTTTAAAACTAGATGAAGTTTTCTGCTGTTGTTGTTTCTTCATTCACTTTCCTTGAGTCCTGCAAACACCATGAAAGTTATCAACATTTGAAACCGCAAACTTATTTGTCAACAACACAACATGCAATAACAACATAGAATAACATGCAACAATAAAAGAGGCATAAACTATCTAACAAGAACAAATTCATAGGAAAACCAAGTGAAACATAACAACAACATACACGAAAATGAGAGAATAAGGAAAAAGAAGAATACATTTATGTAAGAAGAACAAGATTGACGGATATACTATAGAATAGGAATACTAATAATGAAGAAGAAGAGAAAAAATGGGTTCTAGGTTTTTGCTGTGATAGATACAGCGTTACTGTGACAGAGTGAGAGTTAATTCGCTTATATATAAATATACTCACAACGGTCGAAATTTTCACCCGTGGTCATAACCCTTTATTTTATATATAAAAATAAATAAAATAGAAAAGAAACGCCTTAAGTTAAATGAGTAATATATTTGAGGGTATTGAGTTTCGAACCCAAGAAAGCATGGATTCTATAACTACAGTTTTGGCTGCAACCGTTATTATATGTTAACAATTTTTAATAAAAAAATAAAATAAAATGTTAGCACCGCGGATTTAGAGATGTCACCATAGTGTTGGAATAACCTTCGCGAACTAGGCGTTGTTGTTTACGCATTTTGTAGTAGTATGGCGAATACACATCCAAGATGTTTAAAGATTTATGTGCAAGACATTGTGTCGATCATGAGTTAATTTCTCCTTATACACCTCAAAATAATGGAATTACAAAAATAAGAAACATGACTATATTGGATATGGTGAGATGCATGCTAAAGTAGAAGAATTTTACAAAATTCTTATAGGGTGAAGCTGTTTCGACCGCAGTTTATATTTTGAACAGATGCCCTACCAAGAAATTGAAGAATAAGGTTCCTGAAGAAGTGTGGAGTGGCAAACAACCATTAGTGAGTTATCTAAAGGTGTTTGGCTCTATGTGTTACAAGCATGGTCCTGATGCAAGAAGAAGAAAACTTGATGACAAGAGTGAACCTATGATTCTGGTAGGATATCATAAAACCGGTGCATACAGACTATTCAATCCAATTAATGAGAAAATTATGATAAGTTGAGACATTGTGATTGATGAAAATTCTGTCTGGGATTGAAATTCTAATGATGCAAT